CCCCCGTCAGTAGACCACCAGCAGGAGTACAGTGCCACCCATCCCCTGTCAGTAGACCACCAGCAGGAGTACACAGTGCCACCCATCCCCCGCCAGTAGGCACCATCAGGAGTACACAGTGCCACCCATCCCCCATCAGTAGGCACCAGCGAATGACTTGTAGCTATCCCGGGGGCGTGTCATAGCTACCATCTGAAGGGTCTTGTAAATCAGGACCTTTTTTTAGACACGTCAACACAGGTACAGCAATTCCTATCACGTAGCGCCAGTGAATATATGATGACCCACAATGTTACCGGCAAATAGTTAAGTGTTGTTGCTGCTAGAACTGTATCAGAACAAAGGTGCGGGTGTCCTTAAACGAGATACTGTGTGTGTGTGTCTGCCTGTTTGTCTGTCCTTTCGAGGGCACAGGGAAGTGGTTAAAGGTACAGGAAGGTGATTAAGATTGTAGGGGTATACAAAGGGAGATTATAAGACTACAAAGGGAGGCAAGGGGAAGGTCCAGGGTGGGGGGGGTGGGGAGGGGTTGAAGGGCAGGATGTACCAGGGAGAGGCTCAGTACATGAAGCGACAAGAATAGAAGAATCGTGATGGAAGAGCAGAGGAGCGGGGGCGGGGCGGGGCTTAAGGGGTGGGGCGGAGTAGGAGCTGGGCGGCAGGAGAGTCGTGGGAGAAGCAGTGGGGAGGAGGAGGCAGCCGGGTACTAAGGAGTGTGATTGAAGCTTCAGTGTGGCGTGAGAGGGAGGGAGAAAGAGGGGTGGGTGGGGGGGGGAGGGGGAGGGGGTGTCTCTAGCTCCCCTCACATCACGGTAAATCTGATGTGGACGCCGGGGAGCTTTGAGGTACTGACGGTCATCTTCTCCCGTATATATAGTGGTATTTTCTGAAGGACTGACCACGGGGCTAGCTGACACCTATTTGATAAATAAACACACACACGTCTCCAAGCAAGGTGGCCGGTGGTGGTGGTGGAGAAGGGGGAAGGGGGTCTCTGATCTCCTATTAATCCTTAATTAACTAGCAGTACGAGAGGTTCCTCCCACCACCTCCAACATACACAACATACACACACTATCTTCGTTCCTCCTCCTCCACTTTATCTTTCTATATCTCTTCTATCTATGATTTTCTGCCTTTATCATATACTACTCGTTCAGTTTTAATTCTACTCACTTCAACTCTGAGCACACACACGCACACACACACACACACACACACACACACACACACACACACACACAGTCACCAGGTCCACCTCTCCATAATTCACTCACTCAGCCCACTTCCCTTGATACTCACAACTTGGGCCACCTCCTCCCCTCCCCCTCTACTCTCACCTTTTCCATTATCCTTCCACCTACCTCGGTCTTCTTCCTCTATCTCAATCTTCTCCCATTCCACTTCTTACCCTACCTCCCTCTCCCCAACTTTCCTGATACTCTCATCTGACTTTTCCCATCCCATCCCTTTCATCTCCCCTTTCCCGTCTGACCCTCCCCCCCTTCCCCTTTTCTCTAATCTTAACCATTTCCCTTTCCATTTCCCCCTCTCCTTTTTTTCCCTGTCTAACTCTTCCATCTTTCCTATTATAATCTAGCCCCTCCCATTACCCCTTTCTCGTGCTGCCTCCCTCCCCCCTCCCTCGCTCTCCCCTGTTCTCCTATGTCTCCCCTTTCTCGCCAATTAAACCCACCCCCATGTCTTTCTCTGGGGAGTGACCATGTTAATCCAACACTGAGAGAAGCTCGGTTACATCCTTAAATTGTTCATCTACCCATCTCTTCCACCCTTCCTGTTGCTATCTACTCCCTCCTCCACCCCCCTCTCTGTCACTCACATATCTACCCTCCCTCCCCTATTGCGCCCATCTACCCTCCCTCTCTGCTGCTATCTACTCCTCCCTCCTCGCTTCCTTACCCTCCCTCTCTGCCGCTATCTACCCTCCCTCCCTGCCACTCCCTACCCTCCCTATCGTCATCTATTCACCCTGCCACTACCTATCCTCCCTGATACCATCTACCCTTACATACTTCTTTCACCAATCTACATCAACCGGAGTTAGTGGCAACAAGCCTCAAAATAGCTCGTGTGTGCAGAGGTTAATATGGTCTACTGTGGTGAACCTGACTTACATTACACCTACCTCTAGTGACCAAGCGCTCTACATCTATCTACCTAGAGTCACAAGGTCGGATGTGTCTACTTCAACCTTGTAAAGAATGTAAAGTGTCTCACATGTATGTATGGAGGGAGTGTAGTAGTAGTAGTAGTAGTAGTAGTAGTAGTAGTAGTAGTAGTAGTAGTAGAAACTGTACGGCGGAGAAGGCCAAGCAAGGAGGGGGGAGGAGAGGAGAAGGAGGGGCGGAGGAGGAGAAGGAGGGGCGGAGGGGGAGGAGAAGGAGGGGGCGGAGGGGGAGGAGAGAAGGAGGGGCGGAGGAGAAGGAGGGGGAGGAGGAGGAGAAGGAGGGGGCGGAGGGGGGAGGGGGCGGAGGGGGAGGAGAAGGAGGGGCGGAGGGGAGGAGGAGAAGGAGGGGGCGGAGGGGGAGGAGAAGGAGGGGCGGAGGGGAGGAGAAGGAGGGGCGGAGAGGAGAAGGAGGGGGCGAGGAGGAGAAGGAGGGGAGGAGGAGGAGAAGGAGGGGCGGGAGGAGGAGGAGGGGTGGAGGAGGACCAGAAGGAGGGCACCTACACACCTTTAACTAAGACTATATCTAATTAACTTTATTATACAACATTGAGATAGGCCGAGGCCCAAGTCTCGCCAGCCTCATTAAATAATTGATAAATAATAGAATGAAAATATAATCAATTAAAGTACATATGACCATGAAAACCATAATGTAACAACAACAACTACCATGATTATTATTATTATTTTAACTCCTTCAAGTTCCAGAAGTTAAATTACTGTAACTTTTAAACTTGAACATTTTATAAGTGTCCTTCAGTCTAGTTACCTCACTACTCCATCCACCTTCACCCTACACACTTCCATCCTCCCTCACTCCGCACCCACATCCTCCCTCACCCGGCACATCCCCATCCTTAGTCACCCCACGTGGACATTGTATACTCACGCACTCTTGTCTGCAAACCTCTTGTTACACGCACCTCTCTCTCTCTCTCTCCTTTCAAACCTCTTGTTGTGCTACACGAATGCCCCCCCCCCTCCTCCCTTAAGGGCTACAACACTCGTTCCCGAGGCAGCACCAGTCATTAGTGGTCATCTTCCCATTACTTCTACTTACGGCATATCCTCTTCCCTTCCAATTAAGTCTCCCCTTAACTGAGATAACAATAATTACTCTGCCATTATACACTCTTCATTAATTACGGCTTCCAGTTACCATCTTCTTCAACTGTGTGAGAGGCGGGGCGGCGTGCTTGTTGTCCGCTTGTGTTTGCTGGAGTGGAGTGTGTTGCTGTTGTTTGGAGTGAGTTTTTTTGGGGGGAGGGGGGGAGGGGGTTGTGTTTTAGGTGGTGTGGTCTGTTTCAGGGGTTTTGGTGAGGTTGTAAAATGGTTGTGGTTGTGTTTTGAGTTACTTGTTTGGGGGTTTGTGTTACTGCTGCTTGAGGCCGTGTTTGTGGCTTACAGAGGCAGTTCTATCTCTCATAATTTTGTTGTTGTTGGACTAATGTATTACTAACCTTGTTACGCGCCTAAAGACTTTCGTTGTTGAAGCGCAGTAATAACATTATAACAACAACAACTAGTTGCTTCAGGCTGAGTTTTGAGTTCGTACTTGAGATGCTTGAGGCTGTGTTTGGAGACTGTGTTTGTATTGTTTGGGGTGTGTGTGTTAGGGTTCTGTTGACAGTGTGCTAGGGATGTGCTGGGCTTGCTGAGTATGGGTTACATCTGAGCTGTGAAGAGCTGTGTTTGGCTTGGGATGATGACGCCTGGAGTGGCATATACCTCCTGATTGTCCATTCAACCAGGTATTATAGGCAACGAAAGTGAGAAAATTATATAATGGTTAAAATTACTAAATAAATAACTGCAACTACTATAAATACTATCACCAACACAACCATAACAACAATTACTACGACTATTACTATCACTCTTGCTACAGTATAGTGATCAACAAACTTCAAGTCAATCATGGTAAGAGCAGAACAGCATCTAAGAACACACACATACAGCAGTGAAGATATACGACTTAGCTCAGCCTTGATCATTATAATATTTCTATGTCATCCTCCCTTCTCCCTTCTCTCTCTCTCTCTCTCTAGCTCTCCTATTCTCCCTTCTTTATCTCTCCTATTCTACGTTTCTCTTTCCCAACCTCTCCTCTCCCTCCCTTTACTCTTCTTCAGCTACCAATATGCGACTTCCTGACACCATATTTTACCAAATGACAAAAACACCTGTTTTACTCAGTTACCTAAACCCCTTCGCTTCGCCCCCCTCCCTCTCCTCCTCTCACTCCCCTTCCCTCTGATCCTACCTGGAGCCTAATTAAAAACTTTCCCCCTCACCTGAGAAGCAATCCTCCCTATCTAACTAGAAGGAAAACAAAGAAAACTCTCCTTGACAACTCACTCGACAACAACAGCAGCAGCAGGTAACAGCCCCGTCCCAGAAAACTCTCTTTCTTATTTAACATTAAGTGTCTAATTTAAAAAAAAAATAAAAGTCCCTCTCACGTCCACAATAATAACTAGCGTCTTACCTGGAACGAAAACCTCACCTTAATTAATGACAACTTTAAAATAAATTCACCCACGCCTAATTAACCTCCTTCCGGGTATCTGGAGTTTTGTTTTTCTGATATCTGGGGGTTTATTCTGATATCTGGGGATTTTCGGGATTCTGGGGATTTGCTGTATCCGGGGATTTTCAGGAATCTGATGGTTTCTTCCTGTACCTGAAAATCCTTCTAAAACCAGCACCAAGGACTCCATCCACTACCTGAGACCCACTCCTCGTTACAGTACAGATCACTGTTACTATAAGACCGACGTTGTGGTTTGTCCGAGAGGCCAGCTGGACTTACCTGAGATAGTCACGCTTGCAGAGGAGGAGGTTGGCTTTCTTGTAGAGTGAGGAGCCGACCTCGCCCAGCCGGCAGTCGCAGCAGCCGCACTTGAGGCAGTCCTCGTGCCAGTACCGGTCGACGGCCTTCAGAAGGTAACGGTCGTTGATTCTCTTGCCGCAGCCGCCGCACTCATGGCTGCCTGTCGTCTTGCCCACCTCCACAGCGGCCATTCTCATCCTCCAACTACCTGCCCAAACAAGAGAAACAGCTTGTTAGTAATGTATGTGTGTGTTTATTGTACTTGCACGGAAGCCATTTTCATTCTCTTAATTACCTGACCAAAGAAGATAAATGGCTTATTAGCAATTCATGTGGTTACTTTACTGACCAGTCTCATCCCACAGTACCCGCTCAGAGAGGAGAAATGGCTTGTTACTGAGGTGTATGACTGTTTATTACACCTTCACGGAGGCCATTTTCATTCTCTTAACTACCTGTCAAAACAAAACCGTCTTGTTAGCATTTCGCGTGGCTGAAACATCCTACATTCACTTCTGCACCAGGGACAGTCATGTTTGTTGACATGTGACGTCACGCAAGCCCTATCACGAACGGTCTCATTTACACGTGTTTATTTTACCAATTACGAACATAAATAAACACAAATTACGCTGATTATTTTTGCATTTATTGCGTTATTTGCGTTCTTGCTTTAATTAACGTTTCAATTTAGTTCATTATAAAGAGAAAAGTGTTGGTAGTACTTTAAATATACTGCAGTGAGTGACGCTTGGCTCTCGTGCGTAAGGCTCACTTTGTTCCTTGTCTTTACGGGATCTCCGGTTATAATTGTTCAGTTAACGAGGATGATGAAGCCTCTTTTTCTACACCACTCATTAATAAACAAAGGAGAGAGAGAGAGAGAGAGAGAGAGAGAGAGATATATATATATATATACGTTGTTGTTGTTTGTCCCCTACATCGACTCAGCAGAAAAGTCAGTAGATGATGACGGTGGGGAGGTAGACGTGGTGAGAGGTAGATAATGACGTAGGAGGGACATGATATAGTGGGAGGTAGATGATGACGAGAGAGAAGAGTAGATGATGACGTGGTGGGAGGTAGACATGACGTGGTGGTTGAGGAGACAGGATGATGATGTGGTGAGGAGGATAATGACGTGGTGGGAGGTAGATGATGACGTGGTGGGGAGGTAGATGATGACGTGGTGGGGTGTAGATGATGACGTGGTGAGGATAGTAGATAATGACGTGGTGGGAGGTAGATGATGACATAGTGGGGAGGTAGATGATGACGTGGTGGTGGTTGAGGAGAGACAGGTAGATGATGGTGGAGATGATGACGTGGGGGAGGTAGATGATGACGTGGTGTTGAGGAGGGGAGACAGGTAGATGATGACGTGGTGGAGGAGGTAGATGATGACGTGGTGGGGAGGTAGATGATGACGTAGTGGGGAGGTAGATGATGACGTGGTGGTGGTTGAGGAGAGACAGGTAGATGATGACGTGGTGGGGAGGTAGATGATGACGTGGTGGGGAGGTAGATGATGACGTGGTGGTGGCAATACATTATAAATACGTTAAAATATTTTTATAAGTTACGTTTGATAAGTCATTTAAACGCATTCACTGACTGACTCTCAAATGAACGCCTTTATTGACTGACTGACTGACTGAACTAAGTGGCTAATTAAATAACTGACTGACTGACCCACAGAGACTTCCACTTATCCAGTGTGCGTATATAAATATATTCTAATCGCCTTCGCCTATACTGTATATATAAACTTAATTAATAAACTCTACTGCTAAAACAAAGACGCTTTTCTAAACATTATTCACGTGGGCATAACAGTTCTAATAATATACAAATTAACTTTATATTCCTAAGCTTTAAAACGCACTCAAATGAACAACACACTTAAAATATGAGGGAAAGACTAATCACTAGCAGAGATAATGATAGCAATTATATTAAATTCCAATCATGGCAAGAGTATTCAAGTTAAACGAACCAAGGCCAAAAATAATCATAGCGGCGCCTTCATTACGCCAGAACATGTAATCCTAGCGGAGTTAGTCACAAACAAATATAATCAGAGGAAGGGATCAGTCAGGGTAACCCCCCTAAAAAAATAATCACAGCTAGATTAATCACGACCGAAAAATAAAATAATTACATCAAGATCGATCCATAGTCCAATCAGAGCCCAGAGATTATACGAAGCCCAGGATGATGATCGACTCAACACACGTCACCTGATTAACACTTCCTAGAAAAAATAAATAAAAAAAAACACTAATAAATGAAATACAAAATAAAACGAAATATCACAAAAAAATACGAAAAAAATACAAAATAATAATAAAAATAATAATAATAAAATAAATCAGTTATTCAGGAACAGACAAACACGAAAGGTTGAATAAACATTTTTAACTTTTATATAAATATTTATTATTTTTTTCTTCTGTTACTATTAAGCATATTTGTTTAGGGGAAGGTGAGGAAGGAAGGGAGAGAAAGAGAAGGGAGAGAAGAAGAAGGGGGGGTAAATAGAAGAGAGTGCAGGAGAAGAATGAGGAGGGAGTTGGAAGAGAGAAGGGAGGAAGAGAGAGGAGGAAGTGGAAGGAAGGGGGCAGACAAGGGGTGAGGAGGGAGGATGGAGACAGAATGGAGGAAGGAGAGGGGGGGGAAGGAGAGGGGGGAGTGAAGGAGAGGGGGGAGTGAAGGAGAGGGGAGGGGAGTGAGGAAGGAGGAGGGAGAGGGAGGGACAATGACTAATTTTAGCTGTTGTTCATCACTAAACAAAACAACTGTGACAGCGGGCAACATTCTTTTTTAATTATAAATAAAGGTCTGGTGAGAGTGGTAGTGGAGGTGCGAGTAGCCGAGAGAGAGAGAGAGAGAGAGAGAGAGAGAGAGAGAGAGAGAGAGAGAGAGAGAGAGAGAGAGAGAGAGAGAGAGAGAGAGAGATTACATTTCTCCCTCACATCTATACAACTTACTAAAAATAAAACTAGGGTTAATTTTATTGATAATTTATAATATATTTTTTTCTAGATAATTTTAACACAATAATCTAAACACAACTATTGGTACTTGTTATCATCTATCAACTACGGGTTTTTTTCTCTCAACCATTTTCCTTCTTTAGGTAATAACTTCTTTATATTTTGTAAGTATAATTATTATTGTTTACTCTTCATGTAAACACTATTACTGCACTGGGGGTAAAAAAAACATGTTAATACTCTCTGTAGATTTATATCCCCTATTAAGATCAGTGAAAAATTTTCGGTACGCAAATTAGTTTCATATGCAAATTGCTTACATGGGCAAATTAGCCAGATGAACAATCAACACTGAAATATAAATTACTCAGATGTGCAAATGTGTTGTCTACGTTTAAAGGTCCCGGAGGCTCACGCTCATTTACCGACAAACGGATGGTCAGACAGAGAGACAGACAGACACACAGACAAACAGATGTATATTAGTTAGATGGGTGTATGCAAATGAGGTGTATTTACGAGACGGCCAATAACCATCACGGTACCGAAAGAGAAAGAATTGTTAAAAAACTAACTATTAGAGGAAATTTTCTGCACACACACACACACACACACACACACACACACACGTGAGCATGCAAATTAGGTGCTGCCCTTACGCATTTACCAGTAGGTCAATAAGTCATCACTTGCCGAAAGACAGAAAGGTAACAAAAAACAAGTTTCTTAAATAACACGACAAAAACAACAACCAAAGACACAGGGCTTAAGATCTCCATCACACCGCCATCATCAACAATAACCCCCCCCCCTTTCCCTCATCCCCAATCTCCAGAAATCCAATCGCTTCTAATCATATTAAAAACTCCCTCGACTAAATCAAATCAGTATTTCGAGAACCAAAGGGAACCATGTCCAATCCCTCTTCTCTCTCCCACCACCCTTCAACCCCTTAAAGGAGAGGCAAAAACCTCCCTTGTCTCTCTCTTAACATAAGGGTCAGAGTCAAGGGGTAGGGAGAGTTGGAGACCCACGTTGGTAAAATCACCATTAGACGCGAGCTGGCCGTCACCGCTGCATTAGTTGATTGCACGATTAGGTTAGTCACCCATGTGTAGCTTGTGAGCCTATCACTGGAACTTCCTGCTCTGTGGGTGGGTGGGTGGGTGGGCATGGGGTGTGTGTGTGGGGGTGTGTAGGTGTGTGTGTGAGGGGTGTAGGTTTTTGTTGTGTGTATGTATGTCTATTTTTTGGTGTAAGTGGAAGATATTTTGGGTAACATGTATGTGTGTGTGTGTGTGTAATAATAATAATTATAATAATTAACGGTTTATTGAAAGAGCTTGGCAGCCAGAAGGCTGAAAATATACAGTTACATATTTGGGGAATGGGTTACGAATTACAAATAATATACAAGTAACATAAGTGATACAAATAAGATATATAATAACTGGATGGGGAAAAGCTCAAACTACAGTGCATTTCAACATAGTGACAGTGCAAGAAGTAGTGTTTACTGGGAGTGAATACACTGGTCTATTACAAGTTATTGATAATTTTTACAGTGGTTGGGACTGGGCTGTTCTTATAGCGACCAGTTCGTGCACGTATGGGCTGGATGCGGTTGTGGTGTCGAACAGCAATTCTCGGGCTAGGGATCTCAGGTGGTAGTAGGAGCCGGTGTCGAGGATGTAGAAGCTTCTTACCAAATTTGTGTGTGTGTGTGTGTGTGTGTGTGTGTGTGTGTGTGTGTGTGTGTGTGTGTGTGTGTGTGTGCGTGCGTGTCAGCAAAACAACTGAAGAGACTCTTTATTGTTCACAAACACAGAAAAATAAAGACCAGAAACAACTAAGAACAAAAAATTAATCAGATTCCACCATCGGAAGTGGACAGAAAAAAAATTCCCATAACGCACATTTAAAAGAAGAAAAAAAATCACATGAAACATTATTTTTTTTTTCCGCCATGAAAATTATATTGTATTTTTTCTCTCTCTTTCCCTCCCACAAACTGGGCGTTACTGGACGTGGGATAACCCCCCTCCCTCCTCTCTTCCCACTCCCCTACCCCTCCTCCACCCCCACCCAAGCGTTCACAGCACTAGAATTACCGAGTTCACAGTGAACATAATCCAAACACAATGGCTCCAAATCTGGGCAGGTGGGAGCTGTTTACATTAAAACTTACCCATGATCCTCTCCTGTTGTTTTT